TCCAGTGTATGGCCCATAGACGCCCTATGCTGGTGTCCTGGGTTAATCAATGCGCACACAGTGGCCAACGGGGCGGCAGCTCGTTTGCGGTTTTGATAGCGCTTTAAAGACCCCACTGGGTCTCGGAAGCAAGTAATTGGCTTATAATAAATATAAAATTGTGACAGCAGCGAGCCACGAGCAGCATAAGCGACTGTTCTGAGGACTCAGCTAACAGATAGCCATGGCCAACGACTGCTGAGCATAACTGTACCAAAATAACTAAACTATATAAATATGTGCGTGTGTGTGTGTCTGTGAGTGTTTTTGTGTGGGGGGAGCAGACCGACGACAGCTCATCTATTTCAATTAAGCTCTGACTGGGGGTCAGTCTTTTAGGGGCAGCTGCCTGCGAGCTGTTGCTGCGCTCGTGTTTGACCCGCATGTTGACCCAGAATGCAACCGAAGCGGCCAAGCAGCCGGGGCACAACCGTAACTAGGTCACTTCTGCCACACAATATTGACGAAAAATATGCACATTCCTTGCCACTTGCCACTTGCCCATTTTTTTTTGCTGCACATTGATATGGCACAAGGCTTTGCGCCTGGGACGACCTTGCCACAGACTGTACCAAACAGCAGCAGCAGCGGCGGCGGCGACTGCATCAAGGCCTAACTCAACTAGGCGAGCGCATACATATTGCAGTAACTGTACATTGGGGCAAGATGCGTTTACTTATCATAGAGCAGCGCAAGGTCTTTCCGTTTTTGCACAGTGTATGCAATCGTAAGGAAACCAGGTCAAGCGTCAAACGAAACTATATAGAGGGCACACACACACGGACACACAGCATACACATGTATATATGTGTCTGTTTGGCATATGTACAGTAGCTGACGTATTTATGTACTCTTCAGTGCTCTCCGTTTACTTATGCGCTTTTGCCTTTGCTTTAGCTGGCATCTTTTTAACCATCTTGCTCAATGTTCCGGTTATCATGTTCTCGGTACTTTCAATTATTGAAGCACACTTTTTGGGGCACTACAGTAATTAACAAATTTGAAGGCAAATTTAGACTAGAATTTTCAATAAAGCACTTTGAGCTCTCAAACTTCTACTCTAACCCTTAAGTATGCCTACAACTCTTTGCAAATGCTCCGGTAAATGTTTGTGAGTGCCTGATCCCCTTTTTTTAGACCCCCCTCCGGCCCACGGGACAAATTTCAATTTAGCTTTAAAGAGCAGCACACATAAACTGACAGAAGGGAACTTGATGTACGAGGCACATGCGACACGTGTCTGCCACAACGCAGAGTAAAAATGGCCACAAAATAATTCCCAAAAACTGAGCCAAATACATGGACAAAAAAGAGAGAGAGAAATAATAAAAGGCAAAACGGAAACTAAAAAGCTGCGCGGCAAAGTGGCAAAAAATGTCAACGGCAATGGTCAAAAAATAATCAACTTGTGCGGGGACCAGCCCAGAGACCATGGAAAATGTGAAAAAAAAAAACGAAATGGAATACATCATCTTTCGGGCATTTATAGATGAACTCAAAGCTGCGCTGGGCATGGCCACGAGGACGTCAAATATTGGTAGAGCTCGATGCTGGCGCTATTTTGGGGGGATTACAAGCGGGCGCTAAAAGCGGTTTATAGAGCACCTCAGAACCTACAGTACGAGCACTCTATGGCTTTAAAACTGCACCTGTGTGTGTGTGTGTGTGTGTCTGTGTATGCATGTGTGTGTGCGGGTTTGTGTTCCGTTTGTGTGTATTTGAAATGCTATTTGATGTGCCCTCAAGCCAACGACTGTAAGCCGCTTATGGCCTGCAAATTAGACGTTTTGAGCTTTGCCAAGGATGCGGTTCAAAATTCGCACACCAAACCTTTGAAGTACATTAAATATATGCTTCATTTATATAGTTAAATACATATACACATATATATATATATATACATATGGTTGTTAGCATACCAAAGGAAAATTAATGCCAAACTTTCACATTCCTTGTTCAAACTAATCTAAAAGCAATATGCGTAGTTTTCAAGTATATTCACATTTTGAACTGCCAATGCAAATGTTGCAAGAGTTTGTAAAGTCAAATGGAAATCGTCTGCAAACTTGCAACAGTTGCATAAACAAAGCCATATCAAAAGCATAAAACATATCGTTATGACACCCGCTTTAACTTCACACGCACACATGCACACACACACACACACACACACACTCACGCACATACGAAATTCAATTTCAGTTCGCACGTAACTAAAATGAAAGAAAATATATAAATAAAAATAAGACAACAAATAACGAGAATATTTGTGGAAAAAATTCCAAAGCAGTTTTCACTTTTGGAAAAACAAATTTTACTAAAGCTACAATTTTGCGTGCATTGTACATAATTTTCAGTCCCATCTTCTATGTATACTCTTATACTTATACTTATACTTTGGTTTTTTTCCTGTTTTTTTTATCTTTGCATATTTCTTGGGGCCTGCGTGGCCCGGAGGGTGCCCAACCCTTTTCAATTTGCCGCTACTTTGGATTTAGACTGGGATTTAAATATTCAATTTCTTAAATTCCACGCCACTTGCAATTCTGATGCCATAAGCTCGCAGCCAAGTGGCGTCGCGTCGCTTCGCGCCGCAAAACCCGCCTCGTCCCGCCTTGCCACGCCCTGGCCGGCCTTGTGCCGCTCGTCTGCAGCAGCAGCTGCCGCTAACCAACCAATTTGTTAGCATTGAATTAAATATTTTTTGCTGCTTTGCTAAAACTTTGCACTCTAAATTTTGGTTTTCTGTTTTTTGTGCTCTTGCGAACTTTTTGCCCGGCAAGTGTCGACGCGTTTAATTGCAAATGATAACAGGCCATGCTTAAAGTTTTCATCTCGTTTTTCTTGCTTTTTCTTTACTTTTCTTTTTTTTAATTTCTACTTTGCTGACCCAATTTGCAGGGTTTTCATTATTTTTATGCAGGCAGCAGCAGCAGTCGCAGCAGCAGCCGGCAGGATTCTGCTTCAGCGAAAGTGTCGCCATCTTTGCCCATTTTCGTGTTGGCTTTTCATTATTTGTTTTTCCCCCGCATACGCTTGGCTTCATCTGCGGAGTCTGCGGAGCGGAGTCTGTTACTGCCTTCAACTGTTTGCGGCAGCTCTTCCTGTTTAGATAAAATGCCAAATACCGGAAGATTTTTAATTAGAATTTTTTCTAGCTGTGATACCCGCCGCCCGGCAGGCAGCCCACAACTCAATTATTGACTCTAAACAATACGGCAGAGCAGGCAAACGGGAAAACTTCAGCCCCAAAAGGAGTTCAAGCGAAAAGCAAACAATGCTCGAAATTGGCGTCTGTTCCGTTTTCTCGAAACAATTGGCATAGGGAACACAAAGCATTTAACCAGCTTAAATCATTTTAATAATCTTTTCCACTGCTTGGCAGCAATTTTGCTTTGACTTCAGATCTGCTAGTTTGTCCCTTCGTCAAGTCCATCGTTTACTTAGCCACCCGCTGTTTTTGTGGTTTGTTTTGTTTGTAATTTAATACGTGGTCTTTCTTAATTAATTTCTTTTACTTGCGGTTTTCGACAGACGGCAAAATCATAATTCGTAATACGATACCGAAACGATAATATCGTGGATTTGGGGAGCCAAGTAAAGTAACTTGCTATATACGTTTCTCGAGTGCAAGTTACCATTAAATGGTTTTATTTTTGGACAGGAAATAGTTAAAGAGTTTTCTATATTTAAGCAGATGAAAGCGTATTAAGGCTTAAGTCTAATAAATCGTATGAGTGTCAATGGAAATGGTAAAAGCTCAGTAGAGTGGGAATATAAATGGAAAGTACAAATTTGAAGAAAATTGAAAGCACATTAAAGCTTTAACAAAAATAAAGCTTTCGATTTAGTCAACTTAAAGATAATAAAAGCACATTAGGGCGGGATGTACGAATATAAATGGAAACTTGCATAAAATCAAATTAAAGCTTTGATTAAAATAATGCTTAAAGTTTAGTCAACTTTAAGCTTTTATGTGTTTTCAAAGAAATAAACATTTGTGTCATTTATTCATTTTTAAACTTTGACAATTTATCTGAAAGCGAGTCGAATTCAAGCGAATAAAAATGGCATTCAATTTGACAACGGACCACATTTGCATTGATGGAATGACAATTGTTATTTGAAAGACAGAAAACAGATAAAATGCAAATAAGTTGAGCAACACAAAAAATGCTGTCATAGCCAGCTAGAAAGAATAGCGTAAAGGCCAAAATAATAAGATACCAAGATAGCCATGGGCCAGCTGATTCAGGCGAAATAATTTCGGCCATCGCCGACGACAAGCGAAAGTGAATAAATGAATAGGGGAAAAGCTCGACTCGTTGGCCACAATAATTTTCATAAATTTTCCAGTTTTCGGCTAAAGAAATTTCCGCACTTTTTTTTTGTTGTGTGTGCGCAATCAACGCAAAAGCAACAACAGGCAAAAAATGCAGTAGTCCGGCCCGATGATGTAATGGGCCAGCACAAATATTTCATTTGAATAACTTCGTAATCACGGGTCCGGATAGCCTGAATCCGGGCCGACGCGGCGTATGCACAACCTGGAACCCAAAACTAACAACTACAAAAAAAAAAAGAAGAAAAAACAAAAAAACATCGAATCAAATTGGCTTTTTGCTCAATGGGCGATTTTCGTTAGTCGAGCTACGGATTTTTATGGCTAACTTTGTTATGGCAAGGTGGGCGTTGAGGCCACGCCCCCCACAAGCTGAAGTGTAGACACCGAAAAGGCATTTGCTGTTGTTATTATTGTTGTTGCCGCTGTTGTTGTTGTTGCTGCTGCTGTTGTTGTTGTTGTTTAGCCTTTGGCGTTAAATGTTTGTTGCCAGAGCTGTTGTTGGCTTGGCTTTAAAGTGTTATTTGCAATTTTGATTTCGCTTCAATTGCGGCCCAGACAAGGAGACTTAAAAGACTAGGCACAAAGTTGGATTCAAATAGACGTTAGGTTTACTTACTGCATTGGGCATTTGGTAGAGTCGGGATGTCGAGCAATGTGGCAATGCTGTGTGGCAAGCACTCACCTGCAAAGACAAACAAGTTAAGGAAATTGGTTAACAACAATTTGCATAAACTTTAAACGATTTCCGCGTGTATCTGACGATCTACTAGATACATATACATACGTATGCCTTTGTGGCCTACACTTTGATTGTTTTTAGGCAATCAAATCGATTTTTTCTTTTGATTCGCCATGAATTCGATTTGTTTTGGATGTTTTCTTCCCCTACCCCCGCTCAGCTTGGCATTGGCAATTTGGCTTGACACATTCGCGCCGCGATGTCATAAACTGGCACAAACTGCGCGACTGGAGGCAGATAGAGGAAAACATCCCCTTACCTTGGTGTTTGTGTTGCATGTCGCATGTGGCAGAGAGATAGCCTCGTGTGCCCATTTCCAAGTTTACCATGTCGGGGTCAAATAGTTTGCCGACTTTCGTGCGCAAACCAATTGGAATTGTGCCTATAAATATGCATACAACTGCGATTCGTATCGCTAGTTCTTGGCTTTTTATTTTATTACCCTATAATCGTGGCGCTCAACAGAGACTGCCTCCTTCTGCCTGGCAGCCTGACTTTCAAGCTTAAAGATATAGCGTCGCTTTATAGAGGGTAACTGTCAGTCGAGCAGTCTCTGGCTTGGCATGCTTTCTCTTGTTCGCATCTAGATGTTTGAATATTTCTTTTGACATTTCATGTCGACGCTCATTTATAGCAAAAGCCAGACATTGACATGATTTCTCAGCGACTTGTTTTGCATTTCGTCTAATTGCCATGTTAATTGTGCGCAATTACGGACACCCTGTATAGCCCGCAACAGGGTTCTGCAGCTAGGCATTGCATGACGCGACTTTGCAGCACTTTGGTTTTTCCATTTTTGGTAGTTTGCGCTTCGTGGAAAAACCTTTTAATTGACTCTTTTAATATTATAAATGAATGACTGAAACGACAACGAAGTGTGAGAGATAAGACACACAGAAACCGACAGGAAAGAGAGTGCAAGAGAGATAGCGAGAAAGTCTGCCAGGCTAAATCTCAAGCTCTCATGAGTCGACAATAAATTTTTGGCTAATTAGCAAAAACGACGCTTGGGACAAATTAAAAAACCCCACAAAAAAAAAAAAAAAAAACAACAAGAAAAACAATTTAGCGGGGAGCTGGACGCGTGCAACAGCAGCCAGTAATTTGTCATGTAGGCGCAATTAATCAAAAGTTGAATGACATGACAGGCTTCGACTTTTGATTAAAGTATTTTTCTCCCTTTTCATTACGTTAGTTAAGTTTTCTTTTGTGTTTTAATTGTTATTAAAGACATTTTGCGATTGCACTGCGCGAAATTAGTCATCATTAAAAGGAGCAGCAGAGTGTGTTGCATATTTGTGGGCGTCACAGCGTGCGGCTGTCAGACTTGATGGATGGATGGCTGTTTGGACAAAGCGTGTGCTAAGATAATTGACCTCTAAAAATACTTACTCCACACACACACACACACACACACACACACACACAAGTGCACGCAGCCAAAAAGCCGAAACCCATTCAGCGGGCATCCAGCGCCGCAAAGTAGGCTAAAAATGTGGCACACACCGCGGCAACATATACGCCAACGACGGCAACAATGATGATGCTGCTGATGATAATGATGATGGTCCAATAACCTTTTGCACGGCTCGGTCTTGGGCTCTCGGCACAGCTTGAATGCCATTGACACTGGGCGCTTAGAGGCTGCTTCTGATTCGGGTGGCTTGCCGGTCGACACCGTAAGAGATACTTATTTGCCACGAGCAACAGGAGGAGGAGGAAGAGGTGGAGGAGCAGGCAGCAGGCGGGCTGCGAATAAGAAGTCATTGCTCGAGAGGCTCACGCATTTATTGTTGCCCCATTCCCTTGGACAGCTTCAGCTGCTACTTCCCCCCATCCACACTACCTTTTACCATCCATCCTTTGGCCACGTTTTCTTAACGTTGCGTTTATAATGCCTGTTGTTGTTGCTGTTGTTGTCATTGTCGTGGGGATTTTATGGCTTTGAAGCAGGCGAGAGTTGCGTTGGCGTCGTCTGCGTTTTTGGCAGCCAAAGTCGGTTTGTATGCGTGTGCGTGCGAATGCCCCGTTTCAAGGATATTTTGCGCTTTGGACTTGTTTGGCTGCCTTTTGGCATTTTACTGTGTCGTTGGCACGCATCGCAGCACAAAAAGTTAAATGTTTCATAATAAAAAAAAACCAAATAGTAATTGCAGTACCTAGATAAGTAGGATAGACATTAGCTGGGGCAATGGCTAACAATTGTAAAAGGATTGCACGGTCTGCCAAGGGAAAAGTACGCTTTCAAGCGCTGCTTAATAATTAATGATTAATTAATTAATATTAATGATTAAAGCTAAACTATGCTAACTAAAGCTGGCAGACATTAGTTAAAGCAAAGCATTTTACTAATTCGAATCGTAAATGTTGCACTTTAATATTTATGTTGTCGAAAGTCCGTTTTAAATATTTAACTACTAGGTAATTACTAAGTAAAGCGCATGTTTGGAACCAAGAACCGCAGCTACGTAAATTGTAATTTTATCATTTTGAAAATAGTCTTCTGTAAGAGCCAGGTTCTTTTTTAATGCTTCTTCGCTTATCTGGCTTACTAATTGCCGCTTACCAGAAAGTTTGTGCCGTTTTTCGGCTGCTGGAAAAGTGTGCTTTAAAAATGGCAGTAAATTTCATCAGGGCTCGAAATGCACCCACACACATTTCCCCCTTCGCGTACTGTCTATGTTTATCTCTGGTGCGCCGTTTTACCAATCGGTGCGTAGACTGTGCCAATGTCCTAGCTATTGGCCCAGGGACTGGGCCACGCCTGCCACGGCGCACAGTTCGCAGTTCGCCGCGCCGCAAGTTGAATAAACTCAATGAGCTGCTTTTCACAATATTTGTGTATATGTGTGTGTGTGTGTGTGCCTGTGTCTGTGCGTGTTGTGCGTTGTTTGATATATGTAGTTAGGTATGGAAAATTGTCAAATGCGTCTAGACTTTGAAGGTCAATGTGGCTAACGGCTTAGGTCATTCGGTTGCGCATAAACTGGCGCACAATGAGTTGTTAGTCCGCTGCCGTCCTCCGCTTTAAGGAAATTCCGTTGGTTCTGATTTAATGACATACCATGCGTCATTTGCGATGGTAATTGACATATTAGCGCCGTTTGATTTTGATTTCTCTGTCGGGTTCAAGCAACTGGCACTCGTGCTACACTTGTCTCAAAAACGTGACTAAGAAGCGGCTTGTAAATAATCTTTGGACAGCGAACCCGAACCCGAACCCGAACCCGAACCCAAGCCCGGCACGGCCCGATTCGATTCGATACGATACGATACGATACCTTTCAACCATGTTAATTTTATTGCGGTTTTTGCCTAAGCATTTCAGTTGTTCTTTATTTATTTTTTCGATATGCGAGTCAATGAAACTTGGCAGCGATTGCTCATAGATCGGCAGGGGTTTGCGACTGGGCATTGGAAGTGGATCTGTATATGACCCCGCAGGGTTGGTTGAGCGCGTTGTATGACGAACATTGATCTCAGTTGTTGTTGTCGCTGTTTTTTGACTTCAATTTAATTTTCGCTCGCCACTCTCAGCTCACTCTCTCTCTCTCTCTCTCTCTCTCGCTGCTGTTAAAATTTATTTCCTTAGCTGTCGGTGCATTGACTTTTGACAACAGCAGCAACAACAACGATAACAACTCGTTTTCAGTTGCATTGCCAGGCTGTGTTTATAATTTAATTAAACTAAATTTAATTAGCGTGTTAACGCAGTTAACTATAATGCAATCTGCACCGCCGCAAAGTTCATTGAACTCGGAAATTAATATAATTCGCTTTGTCTGGCAAATATTATGAGCAATAGTCTGATTCCGGGACGTTGCAAGTTTTAGGTGCTTGTCTTATCAGTCAGCACGAGCCTCTATCTCAAGGCCGGGCACGTTGCAGTTCCAAATATCAAGCTATAATCTGTGTGCATGTGTGTGTGTGTGTGTGTGTGTGTGTGTTTTTAAACTTAACTGACAAGTCGCAGTCGCATTCACACGACCTTGATGACAATGAACTCACTTACACTCTTAAGCATTGAGTATATAGCTATAAATATATACATATATATTTATATATATATTCATATATATATTCACATATGAAATCGTTTTGTCAAGTGTGCTTTTCGCTTTTGGAAGGTGCCAGTAGTCCGGGCACTGAATAAAAACATCTATTTTATGGCGTATCGCGCTGATAAGATTTGCATCATAAAATAAGAAAAAGCAAGCAAGACACTGCGACCAAAGTATAAAGAAACTGTTTACGGTTTACTGTTTACCAACTGTTTCAGTTAACTGTTGCTGCCAATAAGTCTGAGGTAGCACCCATTTTAGGGTTCCATATCGCGCCAATATGACAGCCCCCAGTTGTATAGATTTTATTTTGTAAAGTTGTGGTGTTTTCGGGGGCATGTTGTTTCGACTAATGAGCTGTATTTGATGGCCTTCTGACGCATTTGTTTACAAAGAGGAATACAAATTATAATCATTGCGCAGCTATCTAAAAATAAAGTTGTATCACACATATATATGATATGTATACTACTTATATTTTAATGCCGAACATTATAGCGCAATATTGAAAGAGAGTGTCAATATCTGATAAGCATGCAATGCACTCGACTCGATATGCCCTGATTAGGGTTCTTTTCTTTTTGCAAGTTGTTGCACCTTTCACACGTACATGACTCACAGGCACAAAAGCTTTTGTCTGTAGTAGAATGTTTAAGTGGAGCTTTTGAAAGCTCACCAATACAAGCGCAACGTTATCTTAGTGTGCCATAAGCACGTTGCCGGTTTTTGTGAAATGCATTAGGGGAAATAGTTTGTGTATTAGGGCCGTGTTTGCCTGGTCTAATATGTCATTAAAACGGTCACACTCAGCAAATAAATTGTGGAAATACGACTTTACAAATAAAGTGGTCTCGAGCAGTGTATGGATAAATTGACTGCACA